TAAATCTAATGGATAATCCACGATGGAATCCTACCTGCCTGTGAGCCAGTCTTGCCACGTGTGCTCTGGGCCAGATCAAGTCGAAAACTGGGAAAGGATAGGCCCAGGACAGGCGTGGCAAGTTTGGCTGACTTGATCTGATTGGGCAGGAGGATTAAGTTAACCCATCGTGGATTATCCATCTCCAGTGCTGTAGAAAAGCTGGATTTTTCAGACAGGAGGCAGAAAAGGAAATCCCGTCAAAAGAGAATATCTTCCAAGTCAAAACATGAAGATTTCCAAGACCCTCAAACAGCTCCTGTCATGATAGGGCTATGCCATACAGCCAAACCACCCCCCAAATAAAATCTAGCCAGTTTTATCTTTTTTTTGCTGTTGTTTACCTGCAAGAGGCACCTCAGCTGACTGCTACCGTCAAAGAATCGTCATTTTAACACCTACCTGGTTCCACTACCAAAGCAGCTGGTTGGAGAATCGATAAAACCCATATTCTGATCTCCTTTAGACCAGGGGTCTTCAAACTTGGCCCTTTGATGACTTGTGGACTTCAACTCCCAGAATTCCTCAGCCAGGCACGCTGGCTGAGGAATTCTGGGAGTTGAAGTCCACAAATCATAAAAGGGCCAAGTTTGAAGACCCCTGTCTTAAATCTAACAAACAAAATGGAGGCTGGCTGAGGAATTCTGGGAGTTGAAGTCCACAAATCATAAAAGGGCCAAGTTTGAAGACCCCTGTCTTAAATCTAACAAACAAAATGGAGGCTGGCTGAGGAATTCTGGGAGTTGAAGTCCACAAGTCATCAAAGGGCCAAGTTCGAAGACTCCTATTTTAAATCTAACAAACAAAATGGAGACTGGCTGAGGAATTCTGGGAGTTGGAGTCCACAAGTCATCAAAGGGTCAAGTTTGAAGACCCCTGCCTTGGACTGACAAGTTCAGTGTTCTTTTTTGCAAGCCCTTTTGCTACTATTATGGTGACTAAAAGACGTAACATGCAAGGCAGAAAAATCACAGTTCTGCATCTTAGCAATTTGCCATGATTGCCACGATAGCCTGGGTTTCAAGATCTCTCT